ATGAAATCAAATGCAAATTGGTGTAAAAGTATTTAACCTGACTACTTCTGACCGCAGCGCCGTGTTTGTGATGTGTGTGAATACAGAAAAAAAGGAAAAGCCCCCCCGGGGGGTTCTCTCGCATGGCCTCCCGACGCCCAGGGTCAGATTATTTGGATAGAAACATCAAAGCAGCAGATGAGACAGAGAGAAGTGTGCACGTGCAGCGGGCGTGCACGTGACGGAGTCGTCCGCTTCACCCAAAACATCCACTGCACCAACAGTGTGCAAATACACACATGTGTGTACAAGTACATCAGGAAGTGCTGCGTGTATGTCAAGAGAAGTCAGAGTTGACCCCTTTTAAAAGGTATTATTATTCTGAACTTTCACCCCCCATGTACACAGGCTCTGCTACCTGAAGCCCAATAAAAATAACGATAATCCCTGCGGGTCAAACTACACAACACGTCGCCCCTCCCATTAAAAGACTGGTGGAAGCAGGAGGGAAAGGTCAAAGGTTAAGGTAGAAGAAAAGTAGGCTTCTTTCCTCAAGTAACCCGAACAAAGGTGCAAAGAGTAAATGCTGGAATCAATGTTGTTGTGAATGTTCGTATGCAAACACACACACACACACAACACACACACACACACACACACAGTGTTTCTGTCGGTAATGAGCAGTGGTCACTGATTCATCATGGCCGTCCTCCAGATGTTCCAGTGGTGTGTGTGTGTTTGCATGCTAACCGCTGGGCGTGTCTCTGCATACATGCGTATGAGTATTTGTGTGTGTATTTGTGTGTAATTGGGGAGTGGGCGGGCTTGTTGGGGGGGGGGGGGGGGTGTTTGGCCTTTTTTTAAACATAGCTGCGTTGTTATGGTTACCGGGGCCTTTGATGTCGTCCAAACCTCCAACTAAGAGGCCCTCATTTTGGGCTCCTGACGCGGGAGAAGGCAATGACTTCCAGATTGGGAGACCGACCCGCATCTCCAGAGTGACTGGGGGGGCTCCTGGTGGGCCCAGAGGGTCACCCCGGTGGGACGGCACGGGACCTCCATGTACAACCACAAAGCTCTGGACTTAAGGAAGAGGCTTTTGGTTAAATATTTCAAATGTGCTTTTAACTTTTTCTATATTTCAAAGACACAGTGCAGACACCCCTTCCATGAGGATGCATATAATCAATACACTCTGTATTTCTGCAGCGAATAAAGGTCGTCTAAATGCTAAAAATCACACGACACCCTATAAATTCTTCAAAGCCAGAGACCTTTTCCTCTCAGACTCTTATTAATCATATACATGTTTTTCTTAGTCATACAGGACGGTTTCAGACTCCATCAAGTAGTTCAGGTATTTCCCACCGTCGAGCCTCACACACACACACACACACACACACAAGCCCTCCCGTTCTTTGGAGTCCATCATATGATACAGAACTAATATTTATATGATGTTTTCGATTATTTCTTCTTTCTTTCTCTCGTTTTCTCTCTTCTGCACTTTCACTCTGCGTGCAGCTGTGGGGAGTTTTATAATTGCGTGTGCGTGTGTGTGGTTATTCCGCATGTACGGTGGTACTTATTGTACATTTGTGTTTCTGAGAGCAATGAATGAATGTACACTTTCGATCACCACGTTTGACAAGTGCAGCTTTAAAAAAAAAAAAAAAGCACCATTGTGTGGAATCTCTGGCATGACATCGTCACAGCTCCTCCAGGAAGCACAACGTGGATTTGGGTTCATGTTGTGAGTTCCAACATCCCTGCGAACAGGATGAATGTGACCCGATCAATTCCCCTTCGTTAGTGTTAATGCGGTTATTTAATTTATCTCCTCCACGAGGAGCGCCGGACGGCCGAGACAGAAGGAGAGCGTGAGATCTAAGATTAAAGACATTACACTCAAAAGCACTCTGGGGGGGGCGAACAAAAGGGAGGGCGCTTTAATTTCCGCTTTAAATGTAAAAAGAGACGCATCTACTAAGTGTGTCATCTGGAAACTAAAGAATACATTAGGGGTGTTTCAGCAGCGCGTGTGTGTCTGTGTGTGTGTGCGTTCGCGTTCACAAGCATGCAAACGCGTTGCTTTGCACGTGTGAGTGTGTGTGTTGTGCCTGTGTGTGTGTGTGTGTGCGTGAGGTGCACTCGTGTGTGTGTGTGTGTGTGTGTGTGAGGGTGCACTCGTGTGTGTGTGTGTGTGTGTGTGCGTGGGGTGCACTCGTGTGTGTGTGTCAGGGTCAAGGTGGAGGGCCGTCGTTACAAACAAGTGATGTCTGAGATCCCATTAACTCTTATTTCTGTTCAAATAGAGCAGATAAAAGGCAGCAACAATATGGCCACGAATCAAAGGCCTTTCAAGTGAAATTAGACAACAGAGACACGGAGTCCTGACGCACTTAAAACAAAAAAAAGGTGTCGATATCTGATTGTCATTTTTTAAGTAATTGCGTCTTTGAAGTAATTACATCTTTTGATGTGACCAACAAACAGAAGATGTATTATGCAGTGGGGCTGCGTACATGATCAATGATTACTTATTAATGTATTATTAATGTGTAAAGGGATGAATCCCTTCAAACCCATGAGGTGCACCGACGCATGAAAGACACAAACCGTTAAAGGCTCCCATAGAGAAAATGACTCTTTGATTATGATCGTGTTCACGCCACCTTTCTACCTTGACTTGTTGGGGGGGGTTAGCCTCCGGTCATACTCATATGAGCCCCCGTTATTTCCTCAATAAAAATAGTAAGTAAATCACAGATGAAAACCCTCCATTTACTAATGATTTGTACTACGATTTATGCCTTCGGGGGGGGGGTGCGACTCTCCTCCTGTAAGTAAGTTAAAGGCTGGATGAACTTTTCCCTCCTGTGTGTGTGGTGTGTGTGTGTGTGTGTGTGTGTGTGTGTCCCTCCCTCGCATGCATGCACATGCCTGTCAGTTGCAGCTAAGGTAATTCTGTGTGCGTGTGTGTGTGTGTGTGTGCGTGTGTGTGTGTGCGGGGGGAAGAGAGGGGATTTCTTATTCCTTTCTTTCTCTTTTTTTATTTTTTTAAATGCAGTGTGGTGGATAATTAGGGGGTTAAATGAGGGCTCTCAGTCAGCCGCCCTGAGTGTGTGTAAAAAAAGGAAGGCGCAGCGAAAAGCCACTTCAAGGCCGGCTAATTACCCCGAGGAAGAGAGCAACCATACGAGGACCAATCGGCGGCTGCAATGTTTCAGCGCCGACCTCAGCACGTGAGGCGCAGTCAGCGCTGCTCATGAAGGCTCCTGCACAGATGTGTGTGTGTGTGTGTCTGTGTGTGTGTGTGTGTGTGCGTGCATCCATATGTGCACAACCTGTCTGGGTCAACTGTGTGAGTCTGCACCGTAGGCGAGGTGTGATTCACGTGCTCGTACATCCCGTCTCAACGGTGTGTGTTTCATGGCGTGCGTTGAAGCTCATTTACATGCGTGCACAGTTTTTGGGATTTTCCCTGCAGAATGTCACCGCTGTGGCAACAGGTCGCAGCGTTTCCTTTTCCCAGGACGCATCTCTGTGTCTCTACGTAGGCAGAAGCCCTCGTTATGAGTATCAGTGTGCGATGTAGGCTAGCCGCTTAGCGTTAACTTTAGCTGACTTTGGTGTGTCTTAAAGGAGGAGGACGAGGGCCTGAGGAGTCCGCTCTCCCAACACATCTGTTCCACAAGGTCTTTAATGGAACCACAGTGAGTTTAAACAAGTCGACCTTCTCCCGCTCTCGCCCCGCTTGTGTTGCGTTTGATAGAAGCGTTGCCGTGACAACACGCTGGGGTGATTCATGTGGCCTTTGTTGTCCTCCTGCGAGGTCTCCGGTGTGTCCTTCGGCCCAAACCTCTGCGTATGCTCCCTCGACCTACGAGGCTCCTCCTCCGCCGCCGGCCTGTAACGAACGCACACCATCTTATCTCCACACAGCCCCCACCCCACACCCCCCCACGATCACCCTCGCCCCCCCGTGCAGAGGCAGTGCCTTTTTGTTTCCACGGCTCTACACGTTCAGAGCGGTGGAGCGGTTTGATCTTAGCTCTGAGGCTAGCCGCGTAGCGTGCACGTGAGGGTCCGTGTGTGCACGTGTGAGGAGAGACCGACTAAGATGTGGATGGATAGGAAAGAGTGTGTGTGTGTGTGTGTGTGTGTTTAATGTGGAGTGCAGCGTGTGGAAGCTCTGCCTTTAAGTGATAAGGTATTCACTTTGTAACTCAGCAGGAGGCCCCTCTGCAGCGCTGATGTTACACACACACACACACACACACACACACACACACACGCGCGCTCGTCCATCTCTAATGTACAAAATAAAATAAGTTTTCTCAGAAATATTCATAGACTTTGAAATCATGTTTTTCAAAGACTTAATGCGGCTCAGAGACGCACGCGCTGTGACACGCGGCGTGTCAGCGGCGCGCTGCGAGCATTAGCAACAAGTTATCGAGAGCCATTTGTAAACAGAAAGATGAAAGCAAACAAGCTCCACGGGATCATCAAAGGGTTATCGATGAAGTGCCCCCCCCCCCCCCCCCCTGCTGACCTGCTCCCCTCCTCCTCCTGACATCCACCCGTCTCCTCCTGCTTCTCCTCTTCCACTAAAAACCAATGGGAGCAATCAAGCTCTGAGATGCCCGTCTTTCTCTCTCACCGTGTCCATCTTGTGTGTGTGTGTGTGTGTGTGTGTGTGTGTGTGTGTGTGTGTGTGTGTGTTCAGATGGGTTTCTTTAATCCAAGGAGTTACTGAGGGATCATCCACACCGATACGGATTGTTTCAGTTGTTATGTCGTCATAGCAACAATCATCCCAAACAAATGGTTTCAACCAGCCTGAAGCCCTGCAGCGGCTTCTAGAAATGATTATGAAATAAAGGCTTGTGTTTGTCTTGGTGAACTATTACAACGCTATTGTCAGGTGAATCACGAGGTCAAACACACGTTGATCCAGAGCACGTTGAAGCCCGAGGACGAACATTTCGATTCAGCCGCTCTTCTCGTCTCCACAGTCCAACAAAGTGTCGGTGGTGCAGCAGTCTCACGGGATTCACCCGCTGACGTCCCTCCTGCCCTACAGCAACGAGCACTTCAGCCCGAGTCCTCCTCACCTGCCCACAGACATGAGCCAGAAGACAGGTGAGCGCACACGCACACGCACACGCTCCAGACAGCCGCTGAGGGCTCCGACCGCTCGGTGCTGCCCAATCCACCGCTTACACGCACACACAAACACAACTACTTTACCGGAAAGACTCACACACACAGAGACAACAAACACACACAAAGGAAAAAACTTAACAAATGTAATATATTCCTACTTTTACACACACACACACACACACACACACACACACACTCAGACACGCACACAGTGTGTGAAGTGGCGGCACCGGCTCCGTCAGCCTGTGGCGGTTCCACGGCTGCTCTGAAGTGGCCTCCTCCTCTGAAGGGACCGCCAGCCGCACACACACACACACACACACACACACACACACACACAAGATGGAAACAATTAGAGTGACAATCGCACAAGCCATCGCTGCAGCACACACACACACACAAGGTTCCAGTTAAAAGTCCCCAAACAAAACACACCCTGACATCTAAACACTGCTGGACCCTTTTCCGAGGGGGCGGGACTTAGGAGGCTACGGGTGTGCCCATTGGTCCGCCCGTCTCCACGGAGATCTGAGCTGCTGAGCGCGTTGCGGTTGAGTTTGCTGTGTGCGTTCGGGGTCCCCAGAGGATGTGAGGGCGGCCTCGACCAGCTGAAGTCTGAGGCCTTCCTTTCACGCTCCCCCGAGGACCAACGCACATGTATTTAAAGAGGAGCTCCGCTGGTTTCTCCCATCAAAGTCGGCTCCAGAGGGAGCTGGAACCTGACGCATGTGCTGCTTAGAGACTACAAAGTCAAAAAACAAATGTGCAGTTTGAAATTAGTTAAAAAGATCCAGTTCGAACTATGAAATAGAGTCATGAAACAACATGTTTAATACTTCCCTGATATGGTGAGGAGAAGCTCTCTGGTCCACCACCACCGCCTCGAGTTCCTCAGAACATCAGAGGTCATACAACACAAAGTTCACCATGACAACGAGTTCCTTTTGCTTTTGTTTTAGAGAAAAGTCAGAAAACATGAGGAGAAAGGAAAGGAGGGCAAAGTCTTTTTCTTGGATCTGATTAGATATTGGAGCGTGACCTCAGGCCTTCCACTTGTGGAAAGCCCCTTTATCCAACAACTCCCCATGTGTGGTCCGGACTGTGTGTGTGTGTGTGTGTGTGTGTGTGACTCAGTCTTTAATGACAGACTGAGCCACCTGCTTCTAACACACACACACACACACACACTGCCGTGCATAACCTCTCTCACACCATCTCACCTGAATTCCGATGGTGTTTCCAGTCAGTCCAGAGACACACACACACACACACTCTCTTACCTCACTCGTGTCATTCGTCGGCTCCTCACAGGAAGGGGTTACCTCATCCGTGATGTCATTTCCCGGGCTCACCTGAGCTCAGGGTAGTATTACAGCTGAGGTGCAATGAAAAGGGAAACAGAACTGAAAAAAAAGCATGAAAGAACAAGCAGGAGGATGTGGATGTTTTCCAATAATTCGGTCTCACTTTAGAAACTTCCTCTGAAGGGCAGATTTTCCGACCAATTATCTTAAATAAATACCTCTTTTTCTTAGTTTAAACTCTAGGAAACAAAAAGACTGGTTTTCTAACTATATCCACAGGTGAAGAAGACTGAGACCATAAACTCATGTTTACAATGTTTACTGAGGGAATAAATCCAGAGAGAAGTAGAGTCATTTCCTCATAGACGTCTATGAGAGCAGAGGAGTCGCCCCCTGCTGGTCACTACAGAGAAGTAGAGTCATTTCCTCATAGACGTCTATGGGAGCAGAGGAGTCGCCCCCTGCTGGTCACTACAGAGAAGTAGAGTCATTTCCTCATAGACGTCTATGGGAGCAGAGGAGTCGCCCCCTGCTGGTCACTACAGAGAAGTAGAGTCATTTCCTCATAGACGTCTATGGGAGCAGAGGAGTCGCCCCCTGCTGGTCACTACAGAGAAGTAGAGTCATCTTCTCATAGACGTCTATGAGAGCAGAGGAGTCGCCCCCCTGCTGGGTCACTACAGAGAAGTAGAGTCATTTCCTCATAGACGTCTATGGGAGCAGAGGAGTCGCCCCCTGCTGGTCACCACAGAGGATGCAGGTTGATCTCATTGGCTCCTCTGATCCACTCGGTTACTTAAGAATGTGAGTGTAAGGTAAAGTTTATTTTGGGGCGACGGTGTTTTGTGGAGTAGAGACGGTGCGCCAAGAACTGCAGGGTTGGCGGTTCGAACCCCGGCTGCTCCATGTCCCTGAGCAAGACACCTAACCCCTACCTGCTCACGGCAGCCCACTGCTCCCACTGTGTGTGGAGGGGGGGGTAAATGCAGAGAATCACTTCCCCAGGAGGATCAATAAAGGATCTTCTTCTCTTCTCTATTCTGAAGTGATGCGGTTTCATTGTCTTAACAGATTACAGCGCTACATCTCCTCAGGGTTCACCTCTAAGTACATCTCTTGTGATCATTTTATCTCTTATAATTTCTCTGATCTGCCAGTTTCCTGGTGCGACTCTTCAGGCCTTTAATTAAGCCGCTGTGGCTTCACATGTGAGGGTTGAAAGAGAATCCGAGGAGGGATCGACGTTACCACACCGATGAGGTTTGACCCTCAGAGGAGTTCCTCATTTAACTGAAGATGACTGTGCTATAATAATAAACCTGCACATTTCACCCTTTTTAATAGTGAAAGTAAATGTCTGATGTCCGATTTATCCACCTTAGGAATGTCTTCTCTCACTTTATAAAGTGGTTGAGATACGGAGGAATCAGTGGCAGATTAATTTAATGGTTTCCAAGCATCAGAAGAGACACGTTGACCCAAACTGCAGAACATATATGAACGTTAGAAACAATTCTAGTGAAAAACTGTCTATAAACCCAAAGAGACAAGTTAATGAAATAATCAAGGAAACAAAATCGTAATCAACACTTAAAGACATCCATACTTTATATACACACACTTAAACACGTCACTATTTTACTGTTACAGTTGCTTAAAAAACATCTGAAGTCATTTCTGGTCTTCTGGTTATGAGAGAAGAACAAAAGGAAAAGTAGCTGTTCACGCTCCAGATGACTGAAGCTCTGTACAACAAATGTAACGTGGCTTCATAATGATGAAGACGCCGATCGACAGTCACAACCTGGTGTTTGGGGGGGGGGGGGGGGGGGCTTCCTGAGGGGCCGTGAGACTTTTAAAGGGGCTTTCCAGAGGAAAGCTGATCCTCCACTTTAAAGGTTCCCAAGAACAAATCAGAAGAAGGAAAGAAGAGTCAAACAATGAATCCAAATCAGCTTATTGGTACTTTGATCCATGGATCAATAAATCACACAACTACATGACCTGGAATATACATACAAATTAAAAAAATGTTATAACTTTATTCTAGTCCCTAGTTGTTCTGATGTCACATTCATCAGTAAAAGGGGCCTTGAATGAGGATTTTTGATTAAACCTGCTGCATTAAGCCGACGCTTTTATCCAAAGCGACTTACATTACATTTTTAACCCACGGCATTTTACATGTTTTTGCCTGGGGAGCAACTAGGGGTCAGGTGTCTTGCTCAGGGACACTGGGACATGGGCCAGCCGGGACTTGAACCACCAACCTTGCAGTTCCCAGCGCACCCTCTCTACCCCCACCCCACGTCACCCCTGCTTGATCAATAGATCTGATTTAACGTAGGTGTTTTCTCATTATGATAAAAAAAATATGGTCAGATGTCTTAGTAAATAAATTAGGTGCGTGCACGATCAATAACATTTAGGAATTTAGGAATGGATTTTTCCGGATGTGTTGTGAGGAACGATGAAGAGGAGAATACATGCGGGAGGAGGGAGTGTAGGTTTATGATGGAGGGAGAGCAGGAGAAGTCCGGCAAAGAGGGACGGCGAGGAGGAGGGAGGAAGGGCGTGGTGGGACACGGGGGGAGGAGGGGGGTGTAGACGGGTCGACTGACTCAGTCACATTCCTGTCGTCCAGATTTATGACGGCTCGGGGTCCCCGGAGCCGAGGCCAAATTACAGTCATCTGCAGCATTCCGCTGCTGCAAACACAGGTTAGCCGCGCTAAGTGATAGCTGCTGCCTGCTGACAAATGACTTCCTTTGAAGGGCACGAAGACAGAAGAGAGACAGAGACGCACATTTTAATACGCGAGCAAGCTGTCTGCTGGGAAAACGTGTCTCTGCTAAGAGTAGAGACAGAAGTACGAGGCGGCGTGCGCTGCTGATCAGTTACAGGTTGATCCAGTTTGTATCGGTGGAAACAATGGAAACAAACGATTTAATGCAACTCGTATTGTTAGTTGTGCCAACATGTCTCATATTCATCTCACATTCCCAGTCATTTCCCTGAATGACGGAGTTCTTGAATGTATTGATGTATTTGATGTACAGATGTTGCGATGCTTTGGTTTGCTTCTGGCGCCCCCTGTGGACTGAAGTGGTAGTGTGTCCCAGCACCGGACGCCCCTTAAAACCTCTCCTACTCCTAGTGTGTCTGGTTCTCCCCTGTGCCCCCCCCCCCCCCCGCTCCCTCACACACACACACAGACACACACACACACACAGACACACACACACACAGTGTCATGTCACAGTAACACACAGAGACACACTGCGACAGGATGGGAACAGAAGTGAGTGACCTGCGTTAAGACTATATTTGTGTTTTAATACCAGGTTCCCAGACTACTAATAGTGCTAATAGCCCATCAGACGGGGCGGGAGGAGTAGAAGGACCAACATAATGACTGTGTAACGTGTGTGTGTGTGTGTGTGTGTGTGTGTGTGTGTGCATGCGTGCTCATTAGACAAAAACAACAGGGACACAGCAGCATTTATTTAGTGTGTCTGTACTTATGACGTCTTTAGTGACAAAATGCAAGAGACAAACAATGTTAATGTGTGTGTGTGTGTGTGTGTGTGTGTCCTCCAGGCGTTCACAGGCACCAGTCCCAAGACCTCTCAGGGTACTACTCCCTCCCTCCAGGCGGGGTCGGCCAGATCACTCCTTCCATGGGCTGGTGAGTCTCACACACACACACACACACACACACACACACACACACCTGTGCACACGCAGCCCTTTCGTGTACTTGTGAGGACTTTGTTTGTTGTTGAACTAAAACACATTAATGTGTTAGTCGAGTTATCGATCAGTCGATGGGGAGAAAACGTTATTTTTGTAATAAGTCACAAAATGATTTTAGGTTTTCGGGTGTTTTAATTTATACAAGCTGCTAATCTTCACCTCCGTAAACAACCACGTCATCATCATCGTCATCATCGTCGTGTCCTCAGTGTTGCGCGCACACACACACGCACACACACGCACACACACGCAGACTGACCTGGGTCAGGGTTACATACATCACTGTCTCACCTGGTGTCAGGGGGGCTGACCCAAACCCGCGTTGCCACGGAAACCACCTCCTTTGATCAGCTCGGTCGATTAGTCAAAACTAAAAGGAATGTTTCAACGCAAATTAGTTGTGTGTCACCAACTGGGGTTTTAACTGCAGCATAAAAAGCAGCTGGACGTTGTTTAAAGCGCGATGAGAGATCGCCATGGTGACACGCAGGGGAAGCAGTGGATTCAAAGTGTTGTCTTTCTGTTGTTTTCACTATTAGCCTCGCCCCCCCCCCCTCGAGAGGAAGCGGCTGTGTTGTGACCACGAGTCTCACAAACATGTTGCATTATTAAACACGGTGGGAAGCTGAAGATGTCGTGAAGCCTCCTCAGCGTTCAGCCCCCCAAGAGAGTCCGATTCACTTATTCCTTACTTCATGCCTCCTGACAGCGCGTCTCTGCGTCGGAGCATTGACCTGTAGATGATACAAGGGGATTAAGACATGGAACATCAGCATGGAGCCTTAGCTCAGCACAGATCTCCTGCCCCCCCCCCCCCCCAGATGGAGGCCTCTGCTGGGCTTTAAGCGTACGTGAGGCGCTGCCTCCTCCTGGAGCTGAAGGACGGCGGGGGGGGGGCGACGATTGCAACGGTGATTTAACTGAGATGTGGATTGCCGTGTGTGAGTGTGCATGCGTTGATGAGTCGGGGGGAGTGTGTGTGGTGGGGGGGACGGGGGTCTCAGGAGGTAGAAGTGTAGTTTTCTACATATCAAAGGCTGCTGCTTACATGCCATCCCCACCCTCGACCTCCCGCGGTGTGTGTGTGTGTGTGTGTGTGTGTGTGTGAGCCGAGTATTGACATGCAGCTGTCAACAGTGATCGGGATGCCTCGGGGGGCGTGGGGGGGTCCCTGTGCATCACAAGAGCTCTCAGCATAGATTCTTCTAGAGATGCAAATAGGAGCCAAACCACAACATTTCACTACACGAAGAGAAAGAAACCGTCGCTCAGATATTAAAACACACATTCAATAACACTTAAGATCTCATTCAAGTCGATTGCAACTGATGAGAGATATGAATCAGCAAAAATAGGAAGGAGTTGTTATTCCAGCTCCTTCTTCTGGGGGGGGTCACCAGACTTTAGACCTGTGAAGCTGAAAGTCACCAACCCTCCCCCCCTCCCCTGCTGTGCAGGCAGAGCCAGCCTGTCTATCCGGGCCTGTCGCCCTGCGGATTCAGGCAGCCCTACTCGTCTAACCTCACCGGCGCCGCCTCCTACTCCAGGTATCGTAGCCCCGCCCCTCCGCCTGCCGGTCGGGGGACGAGCCTCCCCCCTCCCCACCGAAGGCCCGAGAGCGGGCGAAGCAGCAACAGAGTCGCGATGTGTTTTTGGCTTCTTTCCGTTTGCCGTGTGCAGCTTCTGTCAGCTTCCATCAGGCCGTTCAGCACCACAACACGCCGCTGCTGCACACACACACACACACACACACACGAGAGTCGCATCAGGACCGCTTTGTCCTCGCTCTGGCAATCTGTGTGTGAGACCGTGTGGATTCTTTTGTTCTTCGAGGACGTTTTCAGGAGCAGTGAGGAGGGCCGGCGAGCCGCAGAGAGCCTCAGGGTCTTCCTCCCCGTCTGTGTGCGTTTCGCTCGTTAGTCGGCGCTTGCAATCAGAACCCCAGCGCTTTGCCAGCCGGCCTCTCCTGCACACCAGGCCAAAGGTCACCGCCGCACAATCTAGAAGTCCGATAGTTGAATCACAGGATGTGCGTCTTCGATATCTCACCTTTGACCTTTACGCCATGCAGGTTACAAACAAACAAACATAATATTTCAAGCTGCCAGGAACAAATTTATATATTATATATAATATAAATATACTGACCCGTCAGCTCCGTGGTGCTGCGACCCCCCCCTGGTGGTGACACCTCGCGGCTCTCCACAAAGTGTTGCTCTCGCTTTAAAGCTCAGCGTCCGCTCCCCCCCCCCCCCCCCTCCGACCCCCGACCTCAAAGAACTTCCTCTGAATCTCTGTTTGTTTGTCTCTCGTCCCCCCCACCCGTTCTTCTTTCACCTCCATCAGGTTCCCTCACTCTCTGATGCTCGGCCCGTCGGCCATGCATCCTACAGGGATCCCCCACCCGGCCATAGTGCCCCCCACAGGCAAACAGGAGCATGACCAGTACGACAGGGGCATGTACATGTAAGTATCTGGAGTTAGAAGAGAAGATCAATAACACTCATTGGATGCCACAAGTCCAGAGATGGTTAGCTTAGCTTAGCTTAGCACAAAGACTGGAAAAGGGGGGAAACTACTAGCCTGGTTCTGTCAAAGCTAACTGTCTTGTCTCCTGCCTGCAGCTTCCTATTTACCCATAAACTACATCCATGACGGTGCTCTCAATCTCTAAACTACGTCAATCTGTCTTTCCTAAACTCTCAAACTGTAGCTGTTAATGTGTGTTAAGTATCATGTGAGATATTCAACTTCAGCAACATCACAAAGAGAGAAAAACTGCCTCTGATTATTTACTATACCCCCCCCCCCCCATCAGGAAGCCGCATGTGGAGTCCAAGCGGGAGAAGGAGCCCAAGAAGCCGGTGATCAAGAAACCCCTGAACGCCTTCATGCTCTACATGAAGGAGATGAGGGCAAAGGTCATCGCCGAGTGCACATTAAAGGAGAGCGCCGCCATCAACCAGATTCTGGGACGAAGGGTGAGGGATGCACACACACACACACACACACACACACTAATCCTGTTTATTTTACATGCACTTATTTAAATAATCACTAAATGATTTCTTTATTCATTATATCTGTTGTTGTTGTCAAATAGGATAAGTGTAAACTATGTGCTCATACTGACGTGTGTGTCTGTGTGCGTTTGTGTGTGTCTGTGTGTGTCTGCAGTGGCACGCTCTGACCCGAGAGGAGCAGGCCAAGTACTACGAGCTGGCCCGCAAAGAGAGACAGCTCCACATGCAGCTCTACCCCACCTGGTCCGCCCGGGACAACTACGTAAGGGCTCCTCTTCCTGCGCCTCCTCATTCCTCCTCCTCCTCCTCCACCACCACCTCCTCCTCCTCCAACATATTTCCTAAATTGGTTTGGAAAAGCCGACCAGTGGGGAAGAAGAGTTGTAGGACGAGCAGCCATGACTCCTGCTCCTTTTTCCGTAGTGGGAAACGTCTCCGGGGTGGAAAAGTCAAGTTGTTTGCTATGGATACAACCATGGTGACACTTTTTTATAATTACTCATTAAAAACACGTGCTATTTTTAATTTATCTTCTGATTATACCAGAAAGTCATTTTGAAAAACTGTTTTGCGCCATATGGGGTTTTCTCCTGGATTCTACATTCCTTATTTGTTAATATTACACTTACACACTCCTTTCAAAATAGGAGTAAGAAGGTGAGGTGTTTATGGTTTGATGAGTACATCCATCATGCAGGATTCAGAGACACACCTGAACTATTGCTGAGTTTGACGTTAAAGACTTCCCGGATGCAGAGAATTCTTTTTAGGAATATTTAAGGAATAGAAAACATTTGAGCCACTTGACTTCTTTATCTGGTTTGATTTCCTGTAATTAAAACAAAAAGAAAAATAAATGAATAAAAACAGATCAGGATCAATGCAATGAACCGGAACGTTTTGAACTGGGTTTGATCATATTTAATATAGACTGCCTTTACTGGCTCTACAACCTGCATGATTATTGGCTCCCAGGCCTGTCAGTCAAAAGTCATACACCATAACAACGTAGCATGAAATGATTTACCAGAGGAGGTCGAACCTGTGTGGTGCATGTGTTGTGTAGTGTAATGTGTTGGGGATGTGCTGTATCTGGGCTGCTGTGTGCCTCTGATCTGTCAGTTTGCTGTTGAACTCTTGCAGGAGGCGGGCCTTAGCGGGGTCGCAGGGGAAAAGAGTAAAGCTGATTGGGTAGGGACACGTCTTACGGTGGATTTATGCCTCTGTGGTGGGAAATATGTGAAGAGCTGCATGAAAGGGGTTGTGGGTATTCCTGTGCAAAGTTTGCATGCTCCTTCTTTAAAAAAAAAAACTGAACAAACACCCGACAGCACGTAAGCTGCGTAAGCAGATGTGATCGGGAGGACCCTTCACCAAGTCTTGCACGTTGCCATGGTTATGACTACTAGTCAGCTAAAGCGAGTCGCACAGAGGTATAAATCAACCCGTTTTGCTCCACTAACAGAGCGCATGGCCGCATGGCTGGCCTCGCCGCCTTAGTTCATTCTTCTCTGGGCATCCCTTCCTTAAAATAAGCACCTTCATGCTTGTTCCAAGTAGAGCTCAGCACGGAAACCACTGAGCAGCGACCTTTTACCTGTAGGCTCACCTACATCCTGTAAAGAAAGCAACGAGGTCAGTGTGTCACAATCAGGTGGAGTAAAGGTCCTCGGGTCTCCTCTGCTCTACTGTCTTGACACGCGGGTCACTTGGCTTGGGCTGTGGTTCAGAACGGCGGCGCCACGTCGCCCTCACGCGCACAGACTCACCTCAGTTCTCATTCGGCCCAGCCGACGAATTTTTCAAAATAAAAGCCCTTTCCCTGGGCACCATGTCGTGAACACAATGTGAGCGTCCTCTGCACCGGGACCCTGCTGTTCAACTCGCACCAAATAGAATGTTGGTTGTTATGGCAACGACGCGGATAGCTGGGGACGTAGTGTGTTGACGTGTGGCTAGTTAGCTAGTCAGCTAGGCAGCTAGGTTAGCTTCTCCTCAGGAGGGGTGCGGACTGAGATGGAGGAGCCACCACGCCGAGCGCTTCCGCTAACCACCAGCTCCATTAGGGTCCAACAATGGGCCTTCTTACACCTTGGTAGAGTGTGGTCATCCCTGCAGATCTGCACCGCGCGTTCGTACGGAGGTCAGCGCGCCGCTGCAGAAAATGGCCGCCGCTCTGCCCGCTGCATAGATTTGAGCGGGAATGTCCGTTCAGGACCGGCAGGTCGTTTAGTCACCAAGGCGGCGCCTTCTTTGAAGATTTGTTGCATTTCCTGAAACACCCCTCCCTCCACATCGCCCCCGTGCCCCCCCCCTCCCCCTGAGGTTTTAAAAAAAGCGCAGGAAGTGATGTTCCACACGTGGAGGGTTTCCTCCTGAGCGAAGCTCGCCGTGGCGCGAGCGCACACAGACGCACGCCCACAGGCTTCAGAGCGCTGCGCTCGCTGGAGGAGCTGCAGCGACCGCATAGCCAACGCTAACAGCCCGGGGGGGGGGGGTTAGATCTCTGAACCCACATCCTCCATCTCACCGAAATACGAGCCGTCCCAGGATCTGCTGCAGCGGCCTGATGTTTACCTCAACCGTCACTCGAGGACGACTTGGATCTGAGTTCATCTGAAAATCTCCCGTTTTTTGCATGAATTGAATTCAGGATGAAACATATTTTTCTTGTTTGGATTTCTTCTTTCTTGCTTTCTCTCCTTGCTTTTGTAGATTAAATACGGTTGCCTGACCTGGTTGCTGCTTTTAACTTTGCACTCTATTTTAAATGGATTTACATGTCACACAAGGGATACTTTATGTGGTGCCGATTTCTGCTGATGAAAAGAATCGATTAGTGGGACTTTGTATCTCCTCACAAAGACTCTCACAGAGGGTCCAACGTCCTCTGAAGCTCGCTGGTGAAGCACAGATGAATCCAGACATTCTTGTCCCTCTTGTTTATGCCCTCGTTATCAAGACTTAATTCTCTCGTATTTTGTCCAAATCCTGCTCATCCTCCAGATGGACGGATCATCTACGAGAAGGTCTCACCAGCATGGATTCAAAACAAAATTAAAATATATATATATTTCATTTCAACTGTGGAAAAATGAGAGCAAAAATGTAAAATAATGCGAGTACCAACCAGGAGAACTGGATTCATCAGCTTCACTCCACTCTGCTGAAGGAGAATTTGAAGCCATGTCTCATTTAATTGGCGGGATTTTGTTTTGTCTTTGCTCCCGCAGGGAAAAAAGAAGAGGAGGAAAAGGGAGAAGCTGCAGGACTCCAGCACAGGTAAACCTCAACATGTCACACTTCTCCCGTCCTCCATGATTGACAGCGATCAATGCAGCTGGAAGTCTTCATAATTCACGTGTCCAGTCCTCCTGTTACCTTCAAATTTACTTCTACCCCAACGTCATTGGGGTCGATTTGACCCCAGCAACACCCAGAAAATGATCATAATAAAAACGTTCCCCGGGTTTACGTATTTGGTACGTTGTGCTAGTTTGTTGACTACCTAAATAAATTATTTTTTTTTTAAACTCTCCCCACACACGCCTGCCCTCGGACATGCACGTTCTCCTCCACGTCACTTTCATGGTCAAAGAGCTGTGACTACGTTGAAAAAATCATCCTCAGATGTCATTTTCAGTTGAGAGAGAGCAGAACAAGAAGATAAATGCTTCGGGAGGCTGCTGTGCAAGCGTTCAGTCACAGGCAGCAGTCTGACCTTTGACCCCAAAGAACACCGACGTGTACAACATGTGTACAGGACTTGGAAAACACATCATGATTTTAATTTTATGTTTGCCCGGTTGTCCCTGTTAAATTAGGAAAAGTCATCAAATTTGAAGCAAAAAAGTGATGTTAATTATCTATTTAGAGATGTTAAACTTTGAATGGTGTCAAATTGACCCCAAAAGTAATAGGAGGGCTAGATTATAACCCTGTTACTCCCTGCAGGTCTCTCAATCTGTTAAGTAATCCGATACTTAATTAACCAGTTGGAACCCCTGAATCCTTCACTGTACCGCTAACATGCTAACACGTTAGCATGTTAGCGTCCGAGCCTGGAACGTAGCAGCTGATGAGCGATTCCATCCCAACGCCTGATCGAACTAAACCCGCGCTGTGGAGTCCTGTACTAACCGAGTGGCGCTGCTGCCCTCTCTGTGGGGGGTAACTATGTGTCGCTGTGCTGCAACCGGCTACTAACAGTTTGACTTGATGGCTTTCTCTGAACGAGCTGCTCTTGTGTCTCTTTATTTCTCTCCTCTCCGTGTGTCTTCATCTCTTCTCCCTCCCTTAACCCTCTTCCTCCTCCTCCTTACCTCCTCCTCCTCCTCCTTACCTCCTCCTGCTCCCTCTCGCCATGTGCATGCTGTGCATCGCGCTCAGACCCGGGCTCTCCTAAGAAATGTCGGGCTCGCTTCGGCCTCAACCAACAAACGGACTGGTGCGGTCCCTGCAGGTGTGTACCAAGCAACCACCACCGCCTCCACCCTCACACCCCCACCCTCTCCAGAGCACAGCACTGCTACCGTCCAACCAACGGACCTTCTCCCCCCGAACTCCCCATCTAACATTCGCCATCACAACTTTGTTTTTTAAGCGGAGTTGTTGTGTGAGTTTATGCTGCTAAACTATTTAGTGTAGCAGATAGATCAGAAATACGGAAAATATGGAAAATGCCGGTTTCTCTGGCTATTCTGACCCACAATGCTTTGTGCAGCACGAGGGGCAAAGTTCATAGTACTCTGTCCGAGTGCAACAGTGCGTCCTTTGGAAGAGCAGCGGCAAGATGAACTAAAAGTCGCCCACCGGCGATGAACTCAACCGAGGAGCTCCGCCTGCGCCTCTGCATGCTGTTTGTCACTAACCGGCTGCTCCACGCCATGCTGGAGGAAAACACCGAGGTCTGGCTGTTAAAGGTCGGAGGTCGCTCAGGCTCTCCGTGATGCGTCACACACTCTGGCAGTTCTCCGCTTCGACAGCTAATGACAACTAATTCATGGGTTTGTCTTCAAACGAGGCCAGAGTTTGTCTAAAATAAAAATGAAGTTTATATGTACGGGAAGTACATAACCAGTCGCTCCTCTCATTGGTCGAGGAAGTTCCCCCCCGTTGGAGCCGAGCAGAGGCCTCCTCGGTGGAAGCACATGTGTGGGTTCATTCTGACTCAGTAGCCTCTAAAGCACAGAGCCCCCCCCCCCCCAAGTAAAAACAGGGGTTTGGAATTATTAAGAAATGTTCATCCACAGGGTTGTCGACCTCATCGACCTCTCCTCCCCCCACAGCGATAAACACTCAACACCAATCAGAAGCTCCGCCCCTTGTAGCTGCAGAACCATAGCGACCGCGCCGCCACGTCATGGAAATCCAAGTGTATGTGTGTGTGTGTGTGTGTGTGTGTTGGGTTCGAGAGAACAGAGTGGGGTGAAAGTGGTTAGCAGATCTGTATCACCACACACACACAGACACAGACACACAACAACACACACAGGCAGACGCGCCTTGCTTTGTAACGGCGTTCTCATGCCCGTCTGCTTTCAACTTTTCTCCATTCATGCAATGTGGTAACAGGGCGCCGTTTGATGGTGGAACTCTGACATTTAGAGATCACTTTTCTATTGCCCCCCCCCACCTTCTCTCTCTAAATATGGCTTAGCACCTATCCTTTGCGGTTAGAACCAGTAACTCAGATCATATTCTGGTGATGATCATGGGATCCTGTTTGCTGGTTTGCTGGTTTGGGATTTAACAGCCCACAAGTAGTATTCCCTCTTCTCAAATGATACATGACTTTTACCTTAAGTCGGAGAGTGGAAACAGGGGGGCAGTCCAAAGTAAAAAAATATGCAATAAAAGTCATTTAAAAAAAAGGGAATCAACAGCTGTTGCCTGGCAACCTCCAGGTCAACCCCAAACTCCAGGAAGGGCCATTGTTGGTTGCCAACTGTTGATGACCCGGTCATGATCTGAAGGGTCAAAGTCAAAGCTGCATTAGTTAAAGCTCCATTCCCTCTAATGTCCAGCAGGGGGCCAATGAGATCAACCTGCATTCCCTCTAATGTCCAGCAGGGGGCCAATGAGATCAACCTGCATTCCCTCTAATGTCCAGCAGGGGGCCAATGAGATCAACCTGCATTCCCTCTAATGTCCAGCAGGGGGCCAATGAGATCAACCTGCATTCCCTCTAGTGACCAGCAGGGGGCGAATCCTCTGCTCCCATAGACGTCTATGAGAAAATGACTCTACTTCTCGCTGGATTTATTCCCTCAGTAAACGTGGTAAACGCGAGTCTCAGTCTCTAGTTCCAAGTCTTCTTCAGTAAGCATGATGTTCATTTAGTGAATGATGGTCCAACAGACCATAAAGCAGGGGAGGCTTTAGGGCGGGGCTTAATGTAATTGACAGGTCACTCTTCCACATTCATTTGGCTGGTTGCAAAAAGCCAAGATGGGAAAGTCGGGGCTTCGGAGCAGTGGGGGGGTCAACAGGTGGACTGTAAGTGAGCCAGAGAGGCTCATTTCCATCTGCTGTCCCCGGATAGAAGTTTTAGTTCCATAGAAACTTCTTCATATAAAGAAATTCAGTAACTTTTGTGTCCATATGTGAAAAATGTGCTTGTGCCGCCGTTCATAGACCTAACTAACCTGTCTGTTGTCATGGTGACCTGACGCTGACGGCACTGTGTGAATGACGCATCTCCATGAACGCCCGCTGACGTTTACCATCCACACTCTATTCACAGATAACTCTCTCTGACTGTCCCTAGGAGGAAAAAGAAGTGCATTCGCTACCTTCAAGGAGGAGGCTGTCCCAGCCCAACTTCTTCAGATTTAAGTGCTATAGACTCTCCGCCCTCCCCGACCCGCCACCGCCTCTACCAGCACCTGCCGCCCGTCTCCCCGGGCTGCTCCCCCCCCTTCCCCGTCCACGCACCTCCCCTCGTCCCCCCCGCTGACACGCGTGCGCTCGTCGCACACGCGCCCGCCGCCCCCCCATCAGCCTGCCACCAAACGCACGCACACGCGTCCGGGAGCGAGCGGCGGGCTGACGCGCGGCTCCACCTCGACGGCGCTGTCGGCCGCCGACGCCTCGGGACTTTCTCTCACAGTGCTAATGGAGGCTCCGTGATGTGACCTTTGACCTCAGCCTCCACAAAGAACGTCTTCTCTCACTCTCGGTTTTCATCACGCCGCCCCCCTCCCCGCGCAGAAGATCCTCCACCGTCCTCAAACCCTCCTTGAGATCAGGCCTTCGTATCTAAATATAGATCTCTGAATACCCGTAAGCCCACCAGGCTGTACATGTGTGACCTCCTGGTCATGACCTTAAATGTTGTAGCAGGTGGAGGGGGGGACAGACGCCCCCCCCCGCTCCTCATCGATGATTGAAGGGTCCCAGATGACGTCTTTCTGAAATACCAACCTGTGGTCCTTTGGCGCCGTCTGCTGCCGCTTAACTGCAACGACGCCGTGACTTTTTGCTTCTGGAGAATCTGTTTTTATTTGTAATCTTTGACCTTCATGACAATCACAAACATAAACTGACAGCACACGCTCGTGACTTCTACACTGCAGATGTTTGGGGTCACCCAGAGACCACCAAGCAGCAGCTTTGATTAAAGGACACTTTTATTAGCAGTTAGATTTTTATTCCTTTTCCCTTTTTTACGCAGTAACCATTCCCACTCACTTCTTTTGGCACTTCCAGACGCTCACTAGATCACCTGTTACATTTGACTTGTTTCTGTGAGGCCTTTTGAAGGTCAGGTGTTCAGGTGGGGGAGGGGGGCCCTTATGTGTTCTTTTTTTTTTCTCTGTAAACTAATCTGAGACCAAATGGGTACTATTATATTGCATCGTGTTGTAAAGTTTTATAAATGTTTGAATTCCATATTAGAATTAAACTTTCGTTTTTATGTATTAAAAAAAAAGGAAAAAAAGGGGCTTTTATAGTTGCTACTGTTTCCTAAAGCGGCCCTTAGTGTTCAGTCCGTGCATGTTCCACCTCTGCAGCTCGCCGGGCCTCCGAGCAGAACCTCGTGGGGATGTGTCGCGCCTCTCATGTATTACCGGTGTTTGTTCGATGTATTAAAGTGTTTTTATTATCTTTTCCACCTCTGCTGTGTGACATTATTTAGATCGACGCTAAGCTGAACATAAAAATAAAGCTACACACGACTGGCTTTTATACGTTTATTTAATCCTTCAACAAAGTGTTGGGTCATCCCAAAAATTCAGCTTCATCTGACAAACTTTCCAATTCAAGAACAACGTGAATCAGAAATGATGAACCGGAGCGCGCAGAGTCCAGAGGAAACACATCTTTCCTTCAACCCCCCCAGATGCATTCAGAGCAAAAATAAAATATGCACCCTTTTATTTCCATTGTCAAAAATTTTATTTCATCAATTGGAACCTACAAGAAAACAAACATGTCCAGTAAAAAAAGACAAATATAGCATTTAATAATAGGCTGTGGAACGGGACTACTTGTTTTACGTGAGTGGAAACAAAAGGGCCTCTTGGTTTAAATAATGACGAGACGCAGGACAGTTTAGATGCTCATGCTATGGGTGGAGAGAAATAAGAGGAAGCCGTGTGTGTGTCTCTAAATATACTAAATGTAAATATTGACAAGTATGAACAACACCAGTGCAACCAGTTAGCAGGGACGATTCCTATTCAGCGTGGTAGTGTTGGGGGACCCCCCCTCTACTTCTCTTCACACCACTGGTTCTCTTTGCGTACCTGAGGACGAGAGCAGGTCAGTGGAGAAGAACAATTTAGTTATCTTACACATATGTTCCTTCCCTGGAATAAGTACCTGGGCTTCCTCCTCCTCTGTGAAATCGTTTTTGATGTTGAAAGTCTTCCGGATCTCCTCCGGAGTTTTGCCTTTAATCATGTTGGCCACCGTCTTGCAGGTGACATCTAACAGACCTTTGATGTCCAAATAGTTGGCTGCCTGAAACACAAAAAAACAACAATGCAGTGAAGAAAAATAAGACCACAGCAGGAAAATAAACATTTTCAATGAGGCCGTTTGGTTTCGGGTGCTAAAGAGCACGAACTGACTTGTGATTTTCACTACAAGTGTTTCAGAATGCTGAAGTTTAATAAAAGGAAGGAGCCGGTAGCACGTCACCCCCGAATACAACAGGCAAACCGTCCATCGCAAAACCACAACGGGGAAATTCTGTGGAAAACCTATGCAGAGTTCAAAGGTCACCCGATTCAAACTCCTCCTGCTATCAGTTGTTGACTAGTCAACTAACCCCCAAGATTTGATCCCAATGCAGACGCAACGGAAACAACGTCAACGCTTCGGTGAGCATCAACGTCCAGAGAAAGTTTCCAGGAGGATCCGGATGCAACGAGTGAGTCGTGGCGTCGGAGCCTTACGAGCTTCATAAGGAGCCAGAATACAGATGTTTGTATCACTAGGAGACAGGACTTGACAACGCTGCAGAAGCATGCTGGTCAAAGAGATATTTATTTAAACACTATTATGCGGCCATGGGCTCACTCAGGAGGAGAGACCCCCCCACCCTGTGGCTGACCTGTCGGGGAGAGCACCTCGAACCTCCTTGTGCGTGTAAACACAGCCGGGCAGAGGGAGGGAGGGCGGGAGGGCTTGGGGGGGATCCACTCGTGGGACAGGACTCTTGGAAGCTTGCGGCGGTTCCACCGTGACTCAGGCCCGGCTCTGGTTACCGGTCACCAGCTGGGCGCCTTCAGGCCAAATCCAAACTACTCACCAGAATGAGCTCAAACAAGGTGCCTTGGTCCACTTTGAGGAACTCCTGGTCCCACACGGGAATGTCATCCGTCCTCTTCTCCTTGTTCTCGTCGTCTTCAGGGGGAGGGGGGTCGTCTTTGTGATGAGTGCACCACTGAATGACCTGAGGGAAACAGTTACCATGTCAATAAAACATGCTTGTGCGTTAGAGAAGCCATGAGGCCGTGTAGGACACCAAGCAACGCGTCATCTCAGAGTTATGACTGAAAACATCTTGTTTTGAATAACTAGCGTTCTAAAGTACAAGTGACCTCAGAGGCAAAAAGAAACCAGCATTCACATCATCCGAAGGAGCCGAGTGGCAAAACACATTCCCCCAAAGGGAAGCAAATGTGTGAGATGAATGAACTGTGCACATCTCAACAGAAAGCAAACACAAACCAGACACATTGTGACAAACTTTATATTATGCTGTATATATAATGTTAAGAGCTTTGCCACATTCTCTGCCCTGATAATGGTGTTTAGATTAAAACATGTCAGCTGTGAATGTTGATCATTTAGTAAATTAATTACATGGTTTCTTTTAATAAACACTGACAATCACAGGCGAGTGGCCTTGTGTTTTATTGATGTACCTTCTTCAGGATGGCAGCGTTTACATTAGGGAGGGGGACGGGGTCATCGTCGCCTTCATCGTCCATTCCCAAATCTGTCAGAATCACACATCGGCATGAAATATGTCAGAATATGGAATTAAATTGGCATCAATCTAATGAAAATACAACTCCTTATGCTGTGACAAGGAAAGGAAGACCACACAGTCAACCATTAAGTGATGTTTGTGATTAGAGATATAACACACACACGTATATAATATATATGTATTATTAGTTGTACCTTCTAACATGGTCTTGATGGTGACAGACTGTTTAGCGATCTCAACATCCACCTCGAAGATTTCTCCATCGGAGCTCTGTAACTTTATCGTGGGCATTCTCTGTGGAGTGGAAACATTAGATTAAAAACACACGAAAATAAACTGCTTACACTAATTCAACGCTGTGCTAATACTGTCGCTGCGGCTAGCTAAGCTAACGCTGTATTCCCGTGATGCTAGCGAGGCGCCGTTAATTAAGCTAACGTTAGTCGGTGACACGCGGAGCGACGCGCCGGTTACAAACGCAAATAACGTGTTATCGTTACCCGGGCGGCCGTGGCGATGTCACCCCAACGACGTGCTGCGTCGGAGCGCAACCTCTAGCAAAAGCTAGCGACAATTAGCTAGCTGCTAGCCACCCGTTAACATTAAACGACGGGAAAGCTAACCAAACAGCTAATGTTGAGATCGCGGTTGGATTTCCAATTACTAAAAGAGAGGCTCGTTGATCCATAGTACGCGATGCCTGCATGTCACGCCGTGGCTCCATTGCTGTGCCCCACCTTTCCCATCGAAACAACCCTTTAATGTAGTTTAATCTGAAGCTAACCGGGCAGCTAGCATTACCGTGCACTATGCTATAGCACCGTAGCTCGCCGCGCCTCGCGGAGTCTGCTAGGCCGCTTTAGCATTCGAGCCCCTCCGACAAAGATGTAAACAAAATAAAAACGCCGATTTGACCGCGAGTCACATCCGACAGGTTTAGATCGAATAAGCAACGCACCGTAAATGTTTTATAACGCGGATCCAGAGGTGAAAGAATCCTCCGTAGACAACAGCGGGGCCTGACAGACGCGGGGGCACCGATAGCGGCTGGACGTCTCTGAACCAACCTGGCGAGCCCGCAGGAGGAGAGGGGGGGTCCGGAGGGGGGGGCGTTGACCTGTTTTATTTGGTAAATAAAACATATTTCCTGTTTATTTATTTTTCGACACCAACACACCATCTCTGTGGATGCCTTTCAGATGATGTAATATTATTTGACTTTTTTAAGGGAGGTTATTATGTCTTGAATTGTGACTGATTCAGCACTCGGTATCATTATTCTTCCGTGACCATTTCAGCTTACTTTTAATCCTGTGTGAATAATTGTTCTGAGCATAATGATTTATTATACAATGTAATTAAAGTTAGATTAGGTGTCTCCCTAAACGTCCACGTGGTGGCGCTTTCTCCTTATTGCAGCTGAAGACACGGAGCTTCAGAGTGATCATGAAATCTGTCATTTCACAACTTTTGGAACATAGTTAATGACTTGATATATTTCTGTATATTGCACTCAATTTTTTGACGATCTGTATTTATTAAGTTAAAAAGAGGATACATGCATATATTGTAAGGACAATGTAAATCGGAAGGTAAAACCATCTTGGTCTTCCACATGGCAGACATGCATTCATGTTCTTCATTTGTCAAGCGACAATAGTCTGGGAAAGGTCTCAGAGTATCATATTGCATTTGGATTTTAAATTATGAATCAGCAAAGGTTATTCATACAATCGAGTGGGGTAAAAAGTTATAGTAGTGACATTGAACATGAAATGTATTGATTATTTCATAACTAGTTTGTGTCATCTTTCTTTGTCCTTGTTTTCATACGTCCACACCTTTCCTGCTCTTGAGCTCTGAAAACCGGAGTGAAATGTACAGGATGTAGTTACATAATTGGTCCAAATCTGTATCACAGACAGACATTATTTTGCTACAGCAGCATGTCAAAAGTAAAGAATATAAAGAAAAATGCCCGATATATATACACATACAGGCACTATAGTGTAAATATCTAACCAAAAACAACAGCCGTTTAACCTGTACGACACTTGATTATGTACCGTTACACCGCAGATCACGTTTGTTTTTGTCCCTGCTCCTCATCCTCGTGCTTTTATTTTGAATGTCACGCCCGGAAACGTGGTGGTTTCAAGGGTGGATCGTCATCGGAGGCTCTGCCCCCCCCTCCCTCCTTCTCTCTGTCAAAACACAGCGACGCGGCCGCCAGACGAGCACGCGTCTTCCGACGAGAGAGTCCGATTCAGTCCGGAAGAAACACCACAAGCCCCGGGAGAGTCGTCTCCTGACCGACGCTAAATTAGCGAAAAAAAAAACACCCCAAAACAATGGAGGAGAAGCTGTTCACGAAAGAAGTTGACCAGTGGATCGAGCAGCTCAACGAGTGCAAGCAGCTGTCGGAGGGACAAGTGAAAACGCTTTGTGAAAAGGTGAGATTCGAGGGAAACGAACAACGACACCAACCGACTGTCAACGTCTCCACCGCTAACGGTTAACGGTTAACCGACTTCTTAAAATGGCGTCTGACGTTTCTCCGCGCCGCGCGTTTAGTTCGACTCATTATAGCATCATCACAGCCTCTCCTCGCTAGCTAGCTAGCTAGCTGTAGCATCGTATTCGATTCACCTCTGACCTTTTTATCCAGCTTCTTCTCTCGCTAATAAGTAGTCAAGACTGACTTGTTAACAAGGCGACGTGACGTCACGTGAGTGGGGCGTGAACTGCCGCTTCTGAAGCTCCCAACTGGCCCCTGCGCGTGTTAACACGGCTCTGACCTTTGACCCTGTCACCAGGTGGTTGCTGCTTGCAACAGATTTAACTGCCGGTATGACGTATGCGTCCATGTTGGAAGCTGGAATGATGACGCGAAGGCGACTGTTGGGCCTTTGGGAGGGAAACGTCTCATTTGGTTTTGTCACGCGGATGTGCTTTGACGTGTCCAGTGTAGCAGGAGGATGTGATGGCCTCGTGAAGTGAAGTCTCAGGTGGTGTCTCCCGTTGCTCCTCACCCAGATGCAGCTTGAGTGGAAGAAGGAAACGTCCCAGAGGTTATATAATCTATTCTCTACCTCCTGTGGCGTCTGTTCCATTCAGTAGAACCCACCCACGCCGACCCCCTCCCTGGTTGCATCACATCAGCAGTCAGTCCGTCGAGTGTGTGACTCAGGAAGTGTTTACTGACTCAGAGCGTCTGTTTGGGGAGGTACTGGGGGGGGGGGTGCTGTGTGATCCAGATCAGTGCCTGAGTCTATTGGACCGGAGCCCGGAGTGCTCATCAGCGTTCTTAGTTCTCATTGTTTATCAATGCGCCATTTTTCAAGCACAGGGCCCCCCCCCTCCACCCCCCTTTCTAGATGTGTTTGTCTTTTACAGGGATGATGTCATCAGTTTGCCAATGTAATCAGGTCTAATCTGGTTTGAGTTGAGGGCAGACAGCGTGTCCTTCACGGCCCTCCGCTCGGATCACCAGGACATCATCTCAACGTGTCATTAGCATGTAACCGGCTACACGTGGGGCCAGAAGCCCTCCATTGTAAAGCCAGTTTGATGCAGAAATTCCGTCTTCGTCTGTAGACCGAGGTCTCTGTTGTACTCCGAGAGAAGGGAGCGGGGCTTGTTATCTTGTGAAGGCGCCCGACGTGGTGAACTAAACCTGTATTGTTGATACAGTAAACGGCATTCTAGTGAGAACATAAAAACAGAACCGATGGAACACAGATGAAAGTATTTAACGCTGAGGTGTTAAACCAAACACGCTGAGACGGCTGAAGGTTCTCAAATTGAACTGCAAACCGCCAAAGCAGCAAACCGAGTCCCGATCTACCACACGATCATAGACTCTGAACTGGGGGCAACAAAGGGGGGGTGAGGTCACCGTCTGTGGTTACAGTCGTCCAGGAGAACCTTTGGCATCCTCTTTAACAATCCCATTAAAGTGCTGACTTCACTGCTCCGCCCTGGAATGACCTTGTTAACGCCGGGTGGGGTTGTGTGGTCTGTACTTTGGCCTTAGGTGCTTAGCAACCTCTCCCTCCCCAGCTGCACACTGGTCTCTCACACACATCTCTGCATCCACCCCCCAGGTACCGTGAGCAGAAGGTCTCATATTAACAAAGAACTCAATCGTGTTAGAAGTTTTCTCTACTGTTTTATAAAGGCCGTGTCCTCTTTCTAATGACTCATTGTGAGTCTTCAACAGCTTTGTGACCAAACGAGACTATTGACATCCAAAGTGGTCTTTGATATTGGCTTCCATCTAGAGGTGTAACTATTCATTCACTGAATCGATTAATCGATTTATATTCCTGCGATCCAACTGAATCGCTCTGTGCTCCGCAAATCGGCATTCCGGACGACATATATCGATTACAAATTGATTGAAATGGTACATAATTGATTGTATCGATACTTGGAAACTGCACATTGGATTTAAGCACAACAATGGTATGGATGTGTGTGTGTGTGTTTGTTTGTTTTTTTAGCACCTTAGACACGTTAAACGTGACTGGATTCAGTCTGCCTGTCTGTGACGTCATCAGTACGCAGCGGCAGCTGCATCATTTAAGTCATCAACCAAGCGTCTTCTGTTCTAAGTGTTTCTTTGCGATCCGTCATTACCACGTGCGTTTGTTCTGCAGGCGAAGGAGATCCTCACCAAGGAGTCAAACGTCCAGGAGGTGAGATGTCCGGTGACTGTGTGCGGCGACGTGCACGGCCAGTTCCACGACCTCATGGAGCTCTTCAGGATCGGAGGGAAGTCTCCAGACACAAACTACTTGTTCATGGGAGACTATGTCGACAGAGGGTACTACTCTGTGGAGACCGTCACTTTACTAGTATCGCTTAAGGTGAGTAGTCATTTCCAAGTCCTGGCGCTTTTTGAATTTAAATTAGGAAACGATCCCGGTTGTGACGTCGCTGGCGTTTCAGGTTCGCTACCAGGAGCGCATCACCATCCTGCGAGGGAACCACGAGAGCAGACAGATCACGCAGGTCTACGGTTTCTACGACGAGTGCCTACGCAAATACGGCAACGCCAACGTGTGGAAGTACTTCACGGACCTGTTTGACTATCTGCCCCTCACCGCCCTGGTGGACTCTCAGGTGAGCGGACGCAGGGATTGGTCCCCACAGAGGTGTCACTTTAAATGACCTGCTGACCTTTCCCTCCTGATGCTTCCAGATCTTCTGCCTTCACGGAGGCCTGTCGCCATCCATAGATACTCTGGATCACATCAGAGCGCTGGACCGCCTGCAGGAAGTGCCCCACGAGGTAGAGGCGACACTTTGTTTGGATGTTACACTCACTTTAGGGGGTGATCACTGATCACTAGGAAGCCAATAAGGATCCTGTGTGTCTCTGTCTTTATGCTGGCTGTTGTTTGCCTCCTCCTCAGGGTCCCATGTGCGACCTGCTGTGGTCCGACCCTGACGACCGCGGCGGCTGGGGCATCTCCCCCCGAGGAGCCGGCTACACGTTTGGTCAGGACATCTCGGAGACCTTCAACCACGCCAACCGCCTCACGCTGGTGTCCCGCGCCCACCAGCTGGTCATGGAGGTGGGTCTCCGGGGTTTCACCGGGAGGGGGGGGGGGGGACACAAGAATGACTTATTTCCTAAAAATAAAAAATCACACTGTTCCCCCGCCAAGATATTTAAATCCTACTATTTGTAATGTACCCCCCCCCCACCCACAGGGTTACAACTGGTGCCATGAGAGGAACGTGGTGACCATATTTAGTGCTCCCAACTACTGCTATCGCTGTGGCAACCAGGCGGCCATCATGGAGCTCGACGACACCCTCAAATACTCATTGTGAGTATCATGGAAACGGGGCCGGCTTCAGATGATTTAAAATAACTGATTGATTGACACGTTTCTTCTTCTAACCAGTCTGCAGTTTGACCCAGCGCCTCGCCGAGGGGAGCCCCACGTCACTCGCCGCACCCCGGAATACTTCCTGTGAATTTTGACCTCTGACCCCTGTACAGTCGGGTCTGGCATTACCATGATGTATGACCTTGAACCAATAACCACATGAATGACTGGGAGGGGGGGGGGCTACACAGCCGTGCACATCGTACATCAACACACAAACCTGTTTAAAAGAAGAACCCTGAAGTCTGCGTCTTTGAAGGGACCAAAAGGTGTGTGCCATAAATAGTGGGGAGATCTCCCCACTATTTAAAGTTCTTCATGTGGCCGGACCCCCCCCCCCCACCCACATGCTGCCACGGCTTATATTTACCAGATATAAACCTGATCTCTTTGCACTTTTTGTAAATTTAAAGAAATGTAACATATGTCAAAAGATGGAAATTATTTCACACTAAACATGCCTTTGTTATTATTATTTTTTATGACAAATAAAGCCCCCACCAGGCGAAGGTATCTTTGTCCTGTGGACCTTCTTCTAATGAGACAATGGTGTTTATTCAAATCAGCCGACTGACTCCCTCTGAACTACAGAGTCTGTGTGAAACAAAGCGATTGAATAATAAAGACAAAGTGGCTCCTTCACGCCGGCGGCTCTTTTCTTTTCTTAGCGAGGAACATTTCCCTCCGTCTGGACGCTGGTGCTCATCCACGTGTGAAGAGAAGGCAGGTCGAGAGCTGCGTTCCAGGTTTGATCTAGTGGTCCAACCCTGGAAGAAAGGCTCACTGGTTCCTTCAACAAAACAACAACGGGACTTTCCCTTTGGATCATTTAAAGAGAAAACCTGTGATACTTTTATTTTGTACGGCAGGGGTAATTTGATTTTGAAGGCCATTGTTTGCAGAAAAACATTCTCCTGAGAGTAATCTAGGAATATAGGTAGACATCCACATCTCCATAAGTATACATCTCAGTTGGCAGCGTTCTATCAGAGCATTTCAGCTAAACTCCGCTGCAATCACAAACTGGTTGAATGTGTGAAGCAAACCGGCTCGTACACGCCACACATACCAATCCCATACTTCTAAAACTTACTTTTAGAATTCTACTTCATTGTTTCTTTTTCTTTGTACGCAGAGGAAACGTGAGTAATGTTTTTACATGTCACTGTAAATGTAAAGAGATCGATCCCGCCCCGATAAAGGGAGCAACGCCCTCTGCTCTCTTTCCCTTTCCACCAATCAGCGGGCAGTATCGTGTCTCCCGGATACCTGATACCATGACAACAGCAGGTTGCTGCTCCCGCCTGATGGTCGAGCTCCACCTGGTGTTGATGAGGAGAGCTCGCTGCTCCATCGTTGTTCCAGCAAACATGGAGTCACACGAACACGAAACGATCACTTGAACAACAAACAATCACAATTATAAATATGTAATTATATATTTTACTTTGTTTTCCAGCTCACGATTTCCATATTTTTAGAATGTCCTATGGCATGAAACAGAATTGCTCATATTTAGGTTACGATTTTTTGGCGTTTAGTTAACTTTTTGTTTACGCCGGTGGTTCTGACATAAAAGGGGTGGGACCTGCCGCGCTGACGTCACCGGAGACGCTAGCTTGCCAGTTGTTTTGGTAGAAGAAGAAGAAAACGGGTCAAAAGCGGAAGAAACGCCGGATTTCGTTTCGAACAGCATTCCTTTGATGGTCCTGCTTTAAAAACAAATAATTTTTCAATAATGTCGACACCGGCAAGGAGACGGCTTATGAGGGATTTTAAAAGGTACCGCAACGTTTGTGCCGTTATATTGTGTGTGTTGCTAGCAGCGTTAGCTGTTGGGAAGCTAGCTCAGTTAGCTTAGCGTTAGCTCCCGATGTAGATACATTTAGTAATTAAAAGCTTTGCCTTTGAGTTATTGTGATATTAACTCCCCCGTTTGCATATTCCGTCACCGTACGTGACATGTGTAGGCCTGCCAAGTGAATTACTGTGTGCTGTGATTGTATTTTGATGATATCCGATGGCGGCTGTCCGGTTTTAATGCCACACACGGAGCAACGCCTGTCTTGTCAGCTTCTCCCAGTTTGTTTGTTTGTTTGTTTGTTAGCATTACGTCAGCAGCAACTAGCTGTGACTGTCGGACTTATCCGAGGTGGCACCTGGTTAATTAAAGCCCCCGGTGGTCTCGGCTCACTCACGTTCTAAACGGGAGCAGACTCCTGTTGATCTGCAGGAAAAGCTGTGTTTTAAAATGGTGCTTTTTATGAAGGTAACGTGAGCTCGTTTCCACCAGTCAGCATTGTGCCCCCTTTTCCTTTTTGACAGCAACGTGGCTCCCTGGTGTGGCACAACCTTCTGTGTGGGGTCAAAGGACTGCTCCATGTCATTATCTAGGGTGGCTCGATATGTGCCACCTGTTTTGTTAAATAACTTTATTTACACCCACCCGTGTAGATTTGATATTTATGAGATGAGATAGTCGCACCTGGCGGAGGGACTGCGTGTGATACCTGCCTCCCCCGATCGGTTACTAAGCTCCATATGGCATCCTGCTGTGTGCGTGTGTTATTCTCTCACACACACACACACACACACACACCTGTCAGTGGAAAAGAAGCAGCGTCTAAGCCGTTGTACTAAGAACCGCCTGGGGAGCAGAGGGGAGGTACAGGGACACCTTATCCACCCGCTTCCATGGCGCTTCCAACTAGCGCACTCTGAGGCCAGAGAATCAAAGTGGTGCATTCCTGGATCAGCTCCACCATTTAGGAACATCGCGCACCTTAAAATGAGCAGTCACTGCTGGAACGACCCCCCCCGCCCCCCTTTTGTTTGTTCTCCCATCATTTCCCATCCTCATTTTTCTTCCATCTGTCATATCTGATTGTTGTGTCCCCCCCCGCCACAACAATTTCAAGAAGTCCTTCCCCTTGGTGGAGGGGGAGCCCCGTCAGGAAAACAAACACCAGGTTGGGGACGGCAGTTATTTTGGGGGAAGTCGCTCCTACTCCCCCCCCGAAATTGAGATAGCCCGTGCCCCCCCCCAAAAAAAAAAAAAAAAAAACCCAAACCCCCCCCCCCCCCCCCCCCCACACACACACACACACATTCAATGACAACGAGTGTCTTCTCTCTCTCTGCAGGCCTGTGGGAACACCGTTTGAAGACGGTAAGTGTGATTTGTCCTGTTAGCCACCAAAGTGCCTGAAATAGATTTAAATAATTGGATAACTTTGTTAGAACTGTTGTATAGAATCTAGATTATGACAACCAGGATGTCTGTGTTTTTAAAATAAGGCAAAGGTCCTGGGTTCGGTCTTATTTGGTTGCTATGTTCCTCGCTATGACCTTCTGGCAGCATCAGCGGCTACACTAACAATGTGACATACATGCTACTAGGGTTGGACCTCATGGACGCATCAATTTAAATAAATAGCTGGCAGAAGCCGAGCAGATGAACAATGTACACACTTTCGTAGATTTTTTGTTGCTGTATTCGTGACTCTGCGTACCTCGAACTTCTCTCCACTCAGCCATATTTTAAGAGCACGTGTCTCTCTCCCTCCTCAGGAACGTTTAAGTTGCTGATAGAGTTTTCCGAGGAGTACCCGAACAAGCCTCCCACGGTCCGGTTTGTCTCCAGAATGTTTCACCCCAATGGTGAGCTCCCGTCTCCTCATCCAAGATTATTCCTCACATGTGTGATTTAAGTGAATTCCATGAGCAGATTCTGTGGCCGCCTCTCGTGCATCAAAAGGACGACAAACTTGGGCCGATCTGCGCAATGAATAATGAGGGATTACTGCGGCTTATTTTGAGGGCTGTTTGGGAGTTTTGTTGTTGGTTACCATGGCAACTGTCCACCCCTCATCCGTGTGTAAAGCCATTAGGAAACTGCATGTTTGATATTCTTCTTAATAACAGTTGTTGTGGTCCCAGTTTACGCAGACGGCAGTATTTGTCTAGACATCCTCCAGAACCGCTGGAGCCCCACGTACGACGTGTCGTCCATACTCACCTCCATCCAGGTGGGTGGCTTTGACCTTTACACTCTGACCTTCAGCTCCGGCTAGTTATTTGGGGGGGGGGGCACACGAGGCATGATGTTAGAGATGTTATAGTTTGCGGCTGCATGGAATATTAGAGGCACACGTGCACATTACAGATGATCTAAATTCATAAAATGTTGTAAGTTTAGTGATAATCCATTCTGTAGAATGTACATTTGTCTACTTATCCGGTATAATTTTGTGGCAAATGACAAGAGTTAAAGGTTCAGTGGTTTACTTTAAGGAGACATTAACCTAAAATATGACATGAATATCAATTTTTTTTCTTCATAAATCCAGCTATCAAAAAGTTCTGTATCTGCTTAAAAAATAGCTAAGCAAGGGGGAATAATAACCTCTACACACACACACACACACACACCCCCAACAGTCGTTGCTGGATGAGCCAAACCCAAACAGCCCGGCCAACAGTCAGGCCGCACAGCTCTACCAGGAAAACAAGCGGGAGTACGAGAAGAGGGTGACGGCCATCGTGGAGCAAAGCTGGGTGGACGTCTGAGCTCCGCCTCCTCCGCCATCATCACCGCCGTACTCCACCCGTTCATTCTTACCTCATCGAGAAAGAAGAATAAAAAAGAGCAACTATATCAGAAGAACTCAAGTGCCACCCTAAGAAGAAACCCAACCAGAGTGGACATTGACATGCTTGCCGACTCAAATCAGTTTCTGGTCCTTTTTAATTTGACTTTTTTATTGCATGATGTGAAATAAGTTATTGCTAACGGAATTTGTAATATATCTTTGTTGTTTGGTTGGATTGATGCAGTTGGTGTTTGAGTATTACACTTTGTTATTTTTGGAAGTTTTCCTCTGTGTAACGTCTGGTTCGGGCCGGATGATTTAAATGGACCCAGTTTGTCGGAATTAAGAGACCGTAATCTTCCAAATGAGACCTTTTATCGGCGGCCACAGCGCCACGCAGAAAGTACAGCTCCCACCATGTGTGTTAAATCCCTCTTAAAATTACATTTTAAATCAAAGAGCAGAAGACTGCAGTCGTCTCCGGTTCCCTTTTTTAATGATTTAAACCTGAGAATATTAACATCAGAGGAATAACTCACGAGACGCCATGAAGCTCCACCCCTCTGATACGTGAGGGGAGCCACGAGGGATGTTAAAGATTTTGAATTTAAAAAAAAATGTATACTTAACAATATGCTGTATAAACATAATAAATAAACACATTTTTCAGAGTTTGAAAGGGTTTCGCTCGCTTGTCATCAGTGGTTCTTTTACTTATAATTCTTATCCCAATAGAGAAGATTTCAGTGGCATTGTATCTTAATTTTTAACCATTTATGATTTGGAACTGTGCTTAAATGGTAAATAATCTGCCTACAGTTTGAAAGTGATTAATATGCAAAAAGAAGAAAACGAAAAATGCAGTAACAACCATCTTATAAGAAAAGTATTTTATTACGCTTCAGACATTTGGAAAACATACATGTTCATAGTCGTTTAAAAAAAGTAAAAGTTAAATGGAGCTCCAACATGTCAAATTAAAAGCAAGTCTTTTTACATAATATTTTAGACGTTAAAAAACGTGGTAAAACCATCTGGCTGCACCGGGTCCCATCACTGACACTGAGAAGAGAAGAAAACATGAAACGCGTGAGCGACTTTGAGACACAGCTAGTGTGCGGGTGCGTGCGTGAGAGACAAACCTTCTGCTTCTTCATGATCTCGTCTCTGGTCTTGAAGACCGGTGCGTCCTCCACCACGACTCCTTCAGCCATGTCTTTCACCTTCTCCAGCAGCACCGAGCTGTAGCTGCCACGGGGAAGATAAATGTTTATTAGTTAAACCATCACTGTACTTCATTAAATTACAGCAATACAAAAAACATGTATTTTTCTTTTTTGTTGTGTATGACGTAAATTAAAAACTAACCCAGCAATTTTAAAACATCACAATTGACTTACATGATATTTAATTGGCCAAAATATTAAAATTATTAAAGACAAAAATCCAGATATTCATTTATATTAAAACAAATAACCCTCTCTTCAATTTAAAAGAACAAAACATTTAAATGATCAAATTGGTATCTCCGTTTAAATTCAAAGAATATGGTACTTTGGTGTTTAAGATACGAAAAAGGTTATTTACAAAACCGTTCCTTTAGATTTACATTTTAGTTATAGACATTGGGATCAGCTTTAACTGCAAATAACAAGAAATTTGTTTCATGAATTTAGAAATAGCGTCTTCATTACTTATCTTTTAGCTTAATCACATCATACTTGGTTTTGGTCACAATGCTTTACAAATATGGGAGTAACATCCGCCGTGTTTACATCTCTAAAATAGGAACTTGATTAGATGAATAAAATAACTTTCATATAGAGGATTTTAACAGTCTGCTCAGCCATCTTTGTTATTGGTCTCGCGGACGCGGGGGGGCAGCCGCGCGCCGAGAAACACACGAAGAAGAGATAGAAAAGACGCAAAGGACCCGGATGCTGGAGCGGATTTATTAACGTTACTATTATTATTATTTAAACGAGCGGACCTGTCCGATAAAGGGCGTACACTGAAATACGGGCACATCTATATACAAGACGTACAGTGGAGGACCACGGCGTCGTGTTTACGTACCGGCAGCCGAGGAAGACGTTGTTGGCCCAGACCATGGACAGGGACACGAGCTGGTCCAGGTGCGGGTCCTCGTAGTCGCTGATGTTCCGCAGGATGAACTCCCGCCGGGCCTCCCAGTGCTTCTCGCTCTCCCAGTAGCCTCGGAACGTTTCCACCTGCTCCGCCAGCGCTCTGTTCTGCTGAATAAAATCCTCCACGTCCATGTTCGCCATCTTCGCTCCCCCTGACGACGAGTCAACAAAAGGCGACTTCCGGTCTGCGAAGCGGGTCCCGGAAGTAGTTTTTCTAGCTAACAGTGCCCCCCGCGGTGGAACCGAGCGCGACACCTGTGGCTGAAATACCCCTCAGCTCTTAAATAGACCAATAAGATTAGTTCCTTTATCAAGATAATTCTTCGATTTATATATTTACATGACACAATTTTAGACATGAAGATGTCTATCCAAAATGACAAACAAATAAAATAAACTCGTTTCTATTTATTTTCACAATTTCAGTTACTGGTATTCAGCATGTGAGTATGAACACATTCTCAACATTGCAAGAGGATAATACGTCTGACAGTATTGTTTTTGTTCCTAAACTCACACAACATTTCCTAGTATATGGCGATATATATTATATTAATTTATTATATTATATTTTGGGTGTCGTCCGAATCATAAAAGCCGCCAAGCTATTAGGGTTATGGGCTGAAATAATACACCAGCCATGGCTGAGTCACCTTATGAACGCTGACTCAGCAGAACGACAGGTAGGGGGGGTCGTAGATCCTTGTGATCCCAATCAGAGGGTGCAGAAGATGATGAGAGCTGTAATTTAGGATGGACCGGGAGAGTGAACTCCGACTCTGAACAGTTAACCATTTTATTTTATTCAATATATTATTTTAAAAGTCTTTATTTCCCTACAGTTAGCAACAAAACTGGGTTCTGTGTTACTGTGAGTGATCGTGCACCTCCTCGTCCGTCCACGTCACATTGCAGCAAACGCCTTAATTTAATAATAATATAATATCTTCACCGTGTCGCACCTCAAAGTGGAACGAGGCCTCTGAGATTCCATGTCATCACTTCCTGTTCTGTACTTTCTATTCTTCCTGTTTATGTTATTTCCTGTCGCACCTACTCTGACAGCGGAGGATCATTATGATGATTTATGATGCAGGCTAACGTCAACAAATAACCACGCACAAGAAGTCTGATGAAGATTATCTTGTGTTTGTTTTTTCCTTAAACGTTGGTGACACTTTGTTTACAAGGTCCTAAAAAAACAACCTTAAAATCTGTTCATCTTCATTTAACACAAGATGTTTGAAGCAGAGACGTCTCATGTTACTTCACCACAAACAACAGCACCACCAAAAGTATTCATTTAGCACATGTACTGCATCCAATACATGAAGATGGATGTAAACAGTAAAACATGAACTATTCATTAAGATGGAAACAGCCTCTGCTTCTCTTTTATTCTTTCATTTGTCTGAATGTTCTACAGTATCAGGAGGTAAATCACTGTAAAATGTCCCGATGAGCAATGGAACCACTGGAAGGTAAATCCCAGTTCTGCTGTGATTAAAACCTCCGGCCGTCGTTTCCAGCTTCAGTGTGAGGAGAACAAAACAAAACATTGTACAAACAGATACAGCAGCTACTCTCTGACCCCCATCTGTCAGGATGAGCCCTGAACCATGTCCCCCCCTCTCCGCCCCCCATGAAGGAAAAGCGGTTTGAAGATGGATGGATGGAATTTGAAACATTGTACATATTTGAAAAGCCGTCATGAGATGATTGAGTCCACAATTGGTTGGTCTTGTCCCCCCGACCTGGACCAGGTGAGGCTTCAGTCCCCTCCGTCTCCTCTCAGAGGCGCAGCGCCCTCGCGCTTCTCTCGAGGAGGAAGTGCAGCTTCCACCGAATTGAAACTACGCCATAAATATGGCGCCAAAAGAGTTTTCAAGCTGATGAAGAGACGCGCGTCTTCTTCTTCTTCTTCTTCTTCTTCTCCTCCTCGAAAGACGAGACCCGCGCGTGCGATTTATTGTATTTATAGTGCGGAGAGCCGCGCGTGTTAGACGAGAGGAAGCGAGGCGCCGGGGGAGAGCTCACCGGTTACCGGAGCGCCGGGGGAGAGCTCACCGGTTACCGGAGCGGAAACCTCATTTTTGTTTCTTATCACCCCCTCCTCTGGCTCCTCTGCCCCCCCCCCCCCAACCTTTTCCTCACCGGCACCGGAGGGAGACGCCGTCGGATTGTTTTATATTTATTGGGCCCAATTCGGGCCGGTTTATTCTCTCCCTTTCCCTTTTTTTTTGGAAGATGGTGACGCGCTTCCTAGTTGCCGGCACCCGTGGGAAGGAACTCTCCCTTCGAAAACCACCGTCACTTCGACGACCCAGAACGACAGCCCCTTTTAAAGAATACTTCCACCTTTAAATCCCACCTTCGTCATCTACAGAGAACACAAACGTCAAAGCCTACCTCCGCCTCAAAAACAACCTCCACGTTGAAACACTGCCTTATATTCTGTTCCGGAGCAACAGACTCCACGTTAGTTTCGGGCCGCTCCACCCGCAGGAGAACTACCTTCAGCATGCTCCCCTCTTTACCCACGGCAC